TGTGCAAAAGCAAAGCCAAATAACAGTGCAGAATTTTAATTTCTTTCTTCTTCAAATGACGATTAGGGATTCCACGGGGATGGAAAATGCTATTAATATACTGCACAAAAGTAAAACTAAGCAACATTGTGTAAAGTTAGACTCTTTCTTCTTCAAATAACGGGTTACGAATTCCTCGGAAATGGAAAAGGATATTGTGCAAAAGCAATGTTAACTGAGAGTGCAGAAAGTTATAAGTTCTTTCTTCGTCGAATTAGGAATTCCTCGGAAATGAAACAGGAAATTGCACCAAAACAAAACTAAGCAAGAGTGTGGAAAGTTAAGTTCTTCTTTAAATAAGGAGGATTGGGAATTCTTCAGAAATGGAAGAGGATTTTGGAAAAACAAAACTAAGTAAGAGGGCAGAAAGTTAAGTTATTTCCTCTTCAAATAAGGAGGATTAGGAATTCCCTAGAAGTGGAAAATGATATTGCAAAAACAAAACTTGGGAAGAGTTCGGAAAGTTAAGTTCTTTCTTCTTTAAATAAGCAGAATTAAGAAATCCTTGGAAATAGGAAAAGATATTGTGCGAAAAGAAAACTAATCAAGAATGAAAAAGTTACATTTTTCTTCATATAAGGAGGATTAGGAATTCTTCAGAAATGGAAAAGGATATTGTGCAAAAGCAAGGCCAACTAAAAGTGCGGAAAGTCAATTTCTTTCTTCTTCAAATAGGGATAAGGAATTCCGCGGAGATGGAAAGTTAAGTTCTTCTTCTTCAAATAACAAGGTTACGAATTCCTCGGAAATGCAAAAGGATATTGTGCAAAAACAAAGCTAACTAAGAGTGCAGAAAGTTAAGTTCCTTCTTCGTCGAATAAGCAGGATTAGGAATTCCTTGGAAATGGAACAGGATATTGTGCAAAAAGAAAACTAACAAAGAGCGCAGAAAGTTTAGTTGTTCCTTCTTCAAACATTCAGGATTAGGAGTTCCTCGGCCAAATGAAAAATGATACTGTGCAAAAACAAATTTAAGTAAGAGTAGAGAAAGTTAAGTTCTTTTTTCTCGAAATAAGGGGATTATGAATTCCTCGGAGATAGGAAATGATATTGCACAAAAACAAAACTAATTAGGAGTGGAGAAAGTTAATTTATTTTTTTAAATAAGGAGGATCAGGAATTTCTTAGAAATGGAGAATGATACTACACAAAAACAAAAGTATAAAAGTAAGAGTGCAGAAAGTTAAGTTTTTCTTTAAATAAGGCGGATTAGGAATTCCTCGGAATGGAAAATGATATGATGCAAAAACAAGACTAAGTAAAAGTGGAGAAAAAGTTCAAGTAAGGATTAGGAATTCGTGGGAAATGGGAAATGACGTTGTGCTGAAATAAAACTACGTAAGAGTGTTTAAAGCGGTTTCTCAGTAACATTCATATTTGGACTCTTTGGAAGTGCCGACTGTGGTGTGCTCTTTAGTGTTATTTTGTTTGAGTCAAGAATATAAATCTCTGCTGGAACCAGGGTGATATGAGGCTAAGTCTGTTGACTGGTTCTGTTAATGCTGAGCTAATCACACATATGGATAATCCCAAAATAATCCCACTCATTATTCGGATCCTATCTTTTTACTTTTTCTTCTTGTTTAGAGACAAACATAAACTAAGAGACTAAACATAGTTATGAAGCTATTTGGTACATTTTGTAATTCGTATTGATCTCTTTCTCAAATATCTTCTGGCGTACATGTAATGCAATAAATATCTACTTTTTACATTAGTGTTATAAATATTTTCTTTTTACATTTTACACGTCGAGTTCGATTTGATGTCAAGAAAACAATGTTTTACTTTGATTTAGTGTGGAACGTGATTAGAAGTACTCTTACCTGTGGTATATGTTACGATATTTTTCAATTTATTTACTTCTATTACTTTGAGTTTAAGGCATTCTAATTTTAGTTATTCTAATTATATTTAATTGTGAATTTAATATGTTCTAATATATTATTGTTCTATTGTGTTTTGTTTCGTCATTTAACATTTGTTACTAACTTTTCACATTTGTTTTTTAGGTATCGAACATTCAAAGAACTAGCAAATGCATTCGTTAAAGAGTGTTTGAATTATCTTGCATGAGAGGGTTTTTCTCCGGGCGCTCCGGTTTCCCTCTATACATTTACACCTTTTCCTAATTGGCTCACATGTTCATGCTCGCATACAAATAAAAATAGTTCTATTGAGCTTGTTTAATGCATTAAGGCTATAACTTGAATTTACACAATACAAACATGCACAAAGTGTTGCCATAGCTATAAAATTTTACCTATGGTGGAAACCCAAAAATAAACCAAAACAAAAAACAGTGCCTGTGTGTCGGGACCGAAATGGGTTATAGGGTTCAATTCCCTGTGCACTGTCATGTCTAACAAATGAAATTTGATTGTTCTTGCTATTATTCTTAGCCAAACACAAACAGATAGGTTTAAAATTATTTTGAAATTCGAAAAGGTGAGACGTGATACAAGCTTTTCCGTCAGTCTAGACGAAAACAATTTTGATCATAATTCTCTATTGTGATAGTGCGATATTGGCGATGTTTTTAAAACAAGTTTTTTCCATTAGAGTTTCGAGTTCACTGGAGTTTTCCTTCTGTTCTGAGTATTCAGTTCAGAAACCCGTCCCACTCCCCAGTTTCCTCAAATTCAAAATGGCGAGGGACGGACACGGACAGTACCAAGAGAACGTAGTTTTCACTGTTGGTTTAAGAGTAAGCTCGTTTTGTTCTCCTATAAAGGTTAATTTTTTGCTAACTGCTAATCTCCCTACTGCTAATATGATATACAATATTTAAGGAATACCCTGCATCCAAGGATTGCCGATATCGTAGGCTGGAAGGACTGGGGCTAGTTGACAAATATAAGCCATTAAAACCATTAAGGTGGTTATCCCCCTTTAAATTGTGAATTTTGTTGAAAAAATAAAAAAAATGCTATTAATGGGTACATTAATGCAAGAAAAAACATGATCCGAAAAACATCATCTTGTAAACTCAAGATGTGAGTTAAAAAAACAAGACATTTTTACGGTGATATTTCAACTTTATAGTTCTTATAAGGGACTGGTCATAATTTAGCAGGGGGGGTGGGGAGGTGTAATTCAATATTTTAAGGAATGATATTTTGCAACCCTGTCTTGCCTTATCCACAAAAAATCATGCCCCCTCCCCTTGTTCGAGACGGTAAAAATGCCCCCCCCCCATCCGTCAACGTTTTGATAAACACTGCTTCAAAATGAGAAACTACTGTAATCTGCACCGTCAATTCAAAATAGTAATTACACCTTCAAAAATTTTTCTGACAACGTTTATATAAAGTAATAAAATTAATTTATATACGTCCACTTATATATATTCCAAGGGTGGGTAGACTACAAGTTTTGTGTAGTTCGCTACAACTACTGCTATTTTAAAATAATGTAGTCACCTACAACTACTGCTATTGTCAAAAATATGTAGTTTGGTTCTTTTGACTACGTGTACAGCTATATCGCTAGAAAAATGTAGCGAAGTATTCGCTACTTCGCTACAACAAAATTCCTGGTATCCGTGTTTGTAATTTATATTGATTTCACATGTTTTAAACATATGAAATGTTAAGCATAATATGCTCATATATTCTGATACTATGGATTAATGGCGGATGAGCCAAAGAATTCTAGAACAAAATGTGGGTCCAAACGAGATTTGACATGGTATATTAAATGACTAGTTTTGTATTATAGTGTATGAACTATAGAGTATATAGTCGAGGGATATTAAAAAATCGAAAAGTGGCGAATAGCGATTGTTGTTGAAAAAGTAATCAACTACTTCGCTACTTTTAATATAGAAAATATAGTTCGCGACAACTTCAAACTACCAGTTTTAAAAAGTAGTCTATACAGTTACTCGCAAATTGTAGTTCGCTACAGTTGCAAACTCCAACAACTCCGATACTACCCACCCTTGACATATTCATATGTTAAAATTTGGTTTTAAACATAATATGTTAGTTATTTCTAGTGAAAGACCCTGCTATTTAAAATATAAATATTTTAACACAGTGACTTATATAACTTTTCATTTTAAATTCTATAACTAATTTTGTTTAATGTTCTAAGCAAAGCTTATGCAGTGCAACTCAAAGTCTAAGCATGTATAAAAGAAATAATTACAACCAGAAATAAGCAACCCCCCCCCTTATAACTGTCTAACATTTTATGAACCCCCCTTTTTTCTGGCTAAAAAATATGTGACCCCCCCACTATTTCCACCTCCCCACCCCCCTGCTAAATTATGACCAGTCCCTAACTAAACATAATGACAAAATCTAGACCGGTTCCAAAAAAGATAACTAAACATTGCGACAAACGTTCTGACCGCGAGATCACGTGCGTGTAGTGCGTGTTACATGAAGTTTTTCGCCTTTCAAATATGATCATCGTCAGCGAACACTTGTTTAATAACTTTAATTGTTTTGATTCTTGACCCGTTTCGTCTCTTTCCATACCGCCATTAGCCGGTAAAAAAACACCCCAAACGGACGGGCTTGTACTAAATGTGTAACGTACTGGAGTGAACAGTCCCAGTACGTTGGGGAAAAGCCCGCATATTTTCGCGCGTTGTGGCGCAATATTTGAATTATTTGAATAACAAAATTTATTTACCGATTATTCGATGCGAATATTTCCCAACGAGCCCTTTTTCTGCAACAAAATTTCCTCCAGATATTTCACCTCGACATGACTTCTCTCAGCAAAACAAAAGATTATAAGAGATTTCGATATCAGTGAAAAAATCTTTACAGCGAGCAAGATAACAGAGAAATGCCGGAGACAACAGAGACAACAGCGCACAATTACAGAATTTAATATTATTGATAGCTAGTCTGGTTCACTGTAGTTAGGGAAATGCGTCATTTCCGCTATCTCCAGATCTTGAGCTCGTCATGAACTCTGGGGCGACTGCTATCTGCCAGATGAACCGGGTGTCTTGTTTATGTTTTTTGTCATTATATATACAAAATGCGTCTCTGGTTGTCAGGTTGTTTCTTCATAGACGCCTTATTTTCGCAACAGATGCAGTGTTCCAGTAGATATAAATATTATTTTCATCGAAAGAGTGTAATATCATGACCGAAGATTACATTCTGTCCCATCCTTTGCGGACGCCATTAGCATATGATCCACGTTTCAAAGGTGCGGTACGTGTACAGTATGTATAAAACCAGATAACGGAACAATTTTATTATTTCTATATGTATACATAATACATTGAATGAAAATAAAGTTTTATATGCCTGCATTTACTTGTTAGACTTATTTTCAGGTTATGTATAAACAGTTACAGTTCTTGCGAATTTCATTTCTTTTTACTGATTACTGCAAATGGGTTTCCATCTAATTTTTTAAAGTCTTACCAGTGCAATAAGAAAGAAACTTTCCAAACTTTAAAAAGCAGATAGCTAAATACCTTCCCTTAAAATGGATGCTAGATTATGGAACAAAAGGCCTATGACATGAGTAGCAAAACTAATAAAATTCTCCTAACCATTTTGTCAACTGCAACAATATGGCAAAGGAGGGGATCGATCTTCTACAGTTCAGCAAATTTGTCTTTATACAACTATTATCATTTTTTTGCTGAACTATCAAACTATTATTTTTAGCTTATGTAATACTTTCTAAATGCAATTCTAATTAAATTAGAAGAAGAAAAGATTGCATAAAGAATTTTATATGTATATATTGGTGCATGGGAAAAAGGGTGCCTTGTTCTAAAATTAATAGATGCTCTCACAGGTCATTTAATAAATCACAAAATCATTTTTGTTGTTTTTTTATTTCAAGTTGATATACAGTTGGATGAACCATTGTGGAAAGTTCTTTTATCTCCAAGTGATGTTGCTATTGAAGTTTTGACACTCTGCTCACAACTTGAGCCTTTGTGTAAAAGAAAGTATACTGTAAGTACTGTAGGAGTGAAATATCTTTATATGAACATGTCCATGTTTGACCTTGTTGATATAGTGGGAAAACCACAATGTATGTATAATCCATAAAGTGTTGTATGATATTTTTATAATATCATCATCTGGAATACTACAATGATTTATTATAGTTTCATTCACTACTATTTTGAGTTTAGGTATTTTTTTGTCTTTTTATATATCCAGTGATAGGTTCCTATATAGCCATAATATAGCTAAGTGATTTAGTTAGGGCGCTCATTTGGCTTTGAACATCAACCTGGTGTTTCTCATTTAAATTTTAGTTTAGCAACTCCAAAACAATGGTGGGAGATAAACAGGGTAGGCTACACCACATAGCTGGGCAAAATTGGTGATAAATTGTGTAATTTGGGCAGTTTTGCTACAAAAGAAGTCATAAAATGGGGCGAATCGCATTTCAGAGATTCTAAATTTAGGAAACGGGAACCTGTAGTATCTAACTTGCACCTTACTCGGCCTTACTCCCCGCCCCCATTTATTAGGCTGTATCCCCATGGTTAGAGTTGTCTTTAGGAGTAGTCAACCACATGTTCCCATATTCTGGGGACAATTACAAAATACTTCTGGACGACTATGGTTTATAGTGTAAATCATCTTTTTCTAACTACCAGACTAAAAGTGGAAAGATCACCAACAGTCATAAGAATGAATTTCAAAACTCGTTTGAACCGAAAGGTGAGACTTACACTAACTCTTGTGCCTCAAATACTCTAATGCATAGGCGTCCTTATTTTGTATTCAGAACACCTGTAATTGATCCAACATACAACTTATTTCTGCAATTTTAAAACATCTCTTTGTTTCCAATTTTGCCATGACTTCTTTAGCACGTGTTGTTCTTCGAAAGATGGAAGAGTATCTGCAGTTTTTGCCAAGTCCGCAACCTACCTTAGAGGTAAGTGCATGACAAGGGGGTGAGGGAAATCCTGCAATCGGTACACATTATACATATAGCTAAGTCCCCTTAAGTCATTCGTATGCCTCCTGTAAAACATATTCTGGGTTCGCGCGCGCTGAAGGGTAATATAAGGCTTTTGGTGTGTTTTGGGTAATTTGTGATAATTTTATGACATAAATGTCTATTATCACATATGTCATTAAAACTAAAAAGCCGTTTTGAAGAGTCGAGACCACAGTCCATAATATGCATAATGTTTGTATACATATTTAGGAGTATCTACAATACAGTGGTTTAGCCGAGCTTTTCCCAAGAGTAATGTCTTATATTGATAGCCCCGAACGACCAATATTTTTTGCCCAGGAGTATCTTCTTGAAGGTACTAATGATTTTTTTTTGTGAAACATACTTGGGTTGTGATAGTTTGGGGGTTGTTATGTATTGTGTCAAACTACGATTCCTTATACAGCTTTGTGTTATACATTGTGTTGTATTGTGGTAATTGTTACATGTGGAATGTGCATGTGCTGATATACAGGGTGTCCCCAAAAAAGAAAACTATTGAAATCACTCATTGTTAAAATTTGAATGCCATGTTAACGAATTTCAGCCTGTGGGGATTTAATGCAACTTATGAAATGCTAAATGCTTTGTGTTGCTAGAGAAAGGGGACATGTCGAAGATCATGGTCCTTGAAATGCACATTTAAATAATGTTATCCATATTTGCAAATTGTAAATATTGTTAATAAATATCATTTTTGCGAACAAGCAAATTTTACTGCATCATATGCATGCATAAAAATGAGTATGGTAAACATTTATACACTTGTGGGTCCCAACAGAGTGCTTAGGCATTCAAACTCTAACAATTGCATTGTTATGGGTGATTTCAATAGTTTTCGGGTTTTTTGGGACACCCTGTATATCATTGTAGCTGTTTTATATTTTGTCAATTGTACATATTATCATCACAGAACATTTCAGTACCTTTGGGTTGTTGAACCAACTAGTTACATTATCCCATCAGTTGAATTACGATGCGTTTAATCGCTCCAACCACAAGTACATGGCTCATCAATTGGCGTTGCTTTATGTAAGTTAAAAGTCGACGTTTCCCCATTGCCTATGATTTATACCGTAATTTCATACATCAAAATGTTATACAAAGACATAAAAGCATAAATTTAGTATGCATGGTAACCTTCCGAGGGTATTTTCTGCTTGTTTCTTTGGTTAATTTTTCACAAAAAGTATAATAGTCGCATTCCTTGTTACTATGAATTTTGAATTATCACATTATATGTGCAGAGCTGGATTACAGGGGTTTTGTGATGGAGGGTGGGTTGGTTTGCATGATGGGCACCTAGAAGATACGGTATAGTGAAATTAGGAAAAAACGTACTCTAAACTTCCCTTCATGTAGGAAATCCCAAATTCTTCTCAATAACCAGTGCTGCAAGTTTATATACCTACACAAAGGGAACAATCAGGGCATCGCTTTTTTGCACAACCCCTTGATCAAAGATGTACTCCTCCAGCCTCCTGATCAAAGATGTACTCCTCCAGTCCTTCTATACATATAGTTATTATAGTGACAAAATGAATGTTAACAAGTCGCTCTTTGGTCTGATTTCTTTTTTTTCTCATTTCTAACGAAATTTAGCAATCGATCAACCTGCTTGGGTGCCAAGAACTATTAGCCCAAAAGAAAGAGGTGGAAGGTCATTTTAAAACTTTCAAATCAAAACTTGTAGTGAAAGACAAAAAGAGTATTCCGAAACTTCCAGATGATGAAAAGGAATGGTAGGAATGGTTATTATTAGCTTTATTGCTTAAAAAATAGTTGCCTAAAGAACCTTGTTTTACATCGCTACGTATATATATATATAGATCATATAAGCGCCCTTGTTTGAACGACGTTGTGTTGCACCCCAGGAACAGGTTTCAACAAGTTTTAACAGTTGCAAAAACATATTGCTGACGACTATGTTCGACTAGACGTCGTATTAATTTTACTTTGATGCCGTTTTAGGCTAAACAAAATAACTCTATCCATCTTGGAAACCGCTACTAGTTTTCCAACAGAGTTGACCAAACCAATGTTGGCATCCATAGCGTTCTTGCAAAATTTGGAATGATTGCTATAAAGAGATTCTTCAAAACTATGGGACTATTATACTATTTATACACTTAATGAATGCCCCCGAGGGAAGTAGTGAGTTTTGTTTTCCCAAGAGTCTGAATGTTTGAAACATTGAAACTCGAGGGAAAACAAAACTCACTATTTCCCGAGGTAGTGTACATTAAGTGCTTTGTTATATATAGGAACAAAAACATTATTTTACATCATTTCAAAAAAACCACTTTACTTTGTTATGACAATAGGCGGGCAACAATTTTTCACTCGTTTCCCTGGCGGGAAACATTGCATTTATTTAAAGTCATGTGACTACGAATGAACCAATCACATTTAAAATACACAGCACCTATATAACAACAATATTCATTGTATTATAATCCACAATATATTTCCCCTGCAGAGAATACGGCACAGGAGCCCACATTATTGGTTTTTATACCTGCCGTTTTTTGTGGTAGAATTGATCTAAATTTTACTAATATAGGGCTATGTGCATTCAGACTGTGTGGCTAAACTTATAAATATACCACCAAAATTTACGTATATACGGACTCTATATATATATATTTAATTAGTTATTTACAACTTTGTACATATACGTGTACATTAATGCATGTTTATTATCCAAACTCCCGACGTCTTAATTATACATCAATAATACAAAAATATATTAATAATAATGTTATATAATACTATTATTATTAATATTAATAATATATATAATAATAATAATATAATTTTCAAAGTATTTGTAGCCATTAATGTTTTCATAGCAGCTGATTGTATTGTACATTTAAATCTCCAGTGCCATTCTCATAGCAATTACCAGCATTATACTTATCAATGAAATACCTGATGAAGCCGCCTTTGGTCCTTTCTAAAAAAAGAGACAAAATTCAAATTACCAACATGGTTGTCAAAATTTCAAAAATGAATCGACACTGTGCCTACACCCTACACGAAACTCACATTTTCTGTGGGTGTGGATGACGACACAACAATTTCAATAGTGTTCTGTTTCGTCCCTTCACTCGGTGGTCTTGTCGTTGTGGGTTTTTCATTTTGTTCTACCCCTTTACTTGGTGGTCTCGTTGCCAGGAACGTGTCATCCTCCAAGACGGCCAAATTTAACGGGTTACTTGCCTGCATGACCCAAAACCTTTCTTTAGTTTGGGCCAGTGTCGCAAAGAATGTGATGGTTTTTTCCTTGTTCATTGTTTTTGGTGGCTGCCAGTAGAAAACTAAATTATCTTTCTCAGAGTCATTCGTGTGAGTCACGCTCGATTCTGGATGAAACTAAATGTAGAACATATTTGCATGAGGTTAGGATAAGGGTAAAATGTGTTACCTTTACGCTGAATAACAAGGAAGAATTTCGTTTTAAAAGTAATCGCATATTTGTTTACCAGATAAAATATATAAATGTCACACTTGCACAGCGCTTTATATAAATTACTTTGTGCACGTTGATACTTAGTATAGATCACGAGAGTTCACACAGGTCGCGAAAGTATTATTTAAATTTCTCACAAGTGTCTTTGATTGCTATGACCTCTTATGACCTGTAAATAGGATAAGTGTTGTGCATAATAATAGGATAAGTCAGTGCTGACAGTAGGCTTATATTGCTTACTCATATCTGATGAGATACGTACGAATTATATTAGTATAATCAACGATGTCAAACACAATAGAACTTTCTCATAATGACGTCAAACGCGGAAAACCTGATGTCACATGAGTTTGATTAGCTCCGCAAAACTAACGAGCCAATCACATTTCGTCTAACATTATACTAGGCTTTCAACGTTTGACGCCTGTATGAGAAAAGTCTATTGTTCAGTCTTTACTCGTACATGTTCTGTTTTATGATTTGTAATTCAGGGCCTGACTTTTAAGTTTCGATACTTTGAAATATTAAAATTGGCCAACTTTCTATTTGCCCTTTTATTGTATCATATACGGAATAAAACCTATAAGTATAGTCTATGGATTAAAGCAACCATAGGCAAGTCCTTTCTCGTACACATGTCTTCCTTTCCCATGGCCTTTCATACATTCTCTAGCTGCTACTCTTGAGTTATATAAATATCAGATTGTGTTTAGACCTATTACAGTATTAGACCGCACAGTTAGGGCGACTTCTTTTGAAGTTTTGTGATTTTATACTTCTGTCATACAATTTATACCTTGAAATCTGAGCAATTTTGATACTTAACGCCAAGGTCCTCCGTAATATTAAGAAAACTGCCAACAGCAGGACCGTCTTCGCTCCATCTGCCTTGGATGAGAAAACCTTTCAATGCTTTGCCGCTCACGGTTACACGAACCATTTTCAAGCTTTTCTCCAATTTGGCATCGAGGGAATACCCGCTCGGCTGTTTCTGTCTGGGAATCAGCGGAATAAACGTGCCACGATGTCCTGGTGTCATTGTTTTACAACTTTGTTGTGGAGCTCCAGTTCTTTCGCCTAAAACTAACTCAGTAAGAATTACTGAAAACAGGACGAGTGTCGGTGCATACATTGTGTGCTGTATATGATAAAACTATGAAATGTGAAGTGTAGTGACGGCTACATTATATTTTTTTATATACCTTAAATACCGGAAGAAAAAGTTAAATAGCTAACAACGTTGTTCAACCACTTCCTGAAGGCGTATAACAATATTAGCTTTTATCGCTACCATATCAGGTTTCGCTGAACGCACAGGATCTGACAATGCAATTGCACGATGCAATAACATGCATTTCTTTGTCGTAGGTCAAGAGCGGACTCTGTAGTTCTGATTGGCTAAAACAACAGGCGGAATCCTTCAAAAAAATTTTAAATGTATACAAAAATAAAATACTCCTTATATTATAGGTTGTTTGAATGGAATGGTTAATTAAATCAGCTTGATTATTTCTCAGGTATACAAAAAACTGATTTCATTTGTGAATAAAAATAAGTAAATCTTACGTGTACGAAGGAATAACAACAAACTCTCACATTCGTTTTCTTTCTCAACTTGATACACGCGCGCGAAGTTGAAGAAATATGAAGAAACGCGGCTCGAAAATACGAAAATCGGAGTCGTGTGTATTTTACATGTCAGACATTCATACACCGTTCATTTTGAGGTGCTAAAATAGCACCACCGTAGGTGCCAAATCAACACAATGCAGTGATGTTAAATCGAAAGTGCTATTTTGGCACCAATTTCGGTGCTAATTTAACACCACCAAATCTGACATTCATAGAGCATATACGTTCGCTGTTGAAATATTATACGGTTATGTGTAATTCAGGTTTGTGTTCATTTGCCCAATAAATGTAATTTGTGGGATGTAGTAACGAGCATTAAAATGAAAGCCCTCTCACTATAATATCCCTTTTCCGAAGTAATTATTAGCTAGAAAAAAACCCGGTAACTTATTTTACGTGTGACTGTATATGCTAAACTGTTGATCGACAAATGAGATACAAATCGCACAGTACAAAGAGAATAAGAATACATTATTATTATCCACTCAATTCTCTAACATTTATGCATACGCCGATTGTTTTCAAAAATGACATTATATTTGTTGACCGACGACAACAAAGACTATGAACGATAGGACAATCTATGGCATGATGTGAACTTCAAATATGTTGGACCGTGTTCAATGAGGAATCTACATTTATAGCATTTAGGTGAAATATCACTTTCTTCACGGCCCTTCCGGAATGGCTTCCAAATAGCCTTTCTTTTGCGATAATGATTCCTCCCTCTATAGTGCCGCTTTTGGACGAACCCTCGTATTGACTATTGTGGAAACCAGTTCCGGACACATTTCCACACCAAATAAGGGCCTTAATGCATGAGGAGGATGTAAGGTCAAAAATAAGGCGTAAAACACGGAAGCAAAAAGCGAGTGAGAGTTTTGTTTAATTTGATTGTGTGAATTGGGTTGTGTGAAAGGTCAAACATATCAAACAATAGTCGGTGCGACCATATGTTAAAAAATTACCATGAGGAGCAACGTGGCAATGTCTTAATTCGAGTGACCTCTGATCATATTTACGGTTGAACTGATTGAAACATACACTGAAAAGAGTCAATTTGTGTGATTACACAAATTGAATAAATGAGGACAACATCAAAGCTTTTTTCGCGAGAAAAATGCGAGTTCTTGCATCGAAATAAAGTCTGCAGAGAAGCCAGAATTTTTATTACATGAGAATTTACAACGCGAGTTGCGTTGCGAGTTGCCGGTCGTCGAGTTGAGAATCCTTACAACTCAATTTTGAAAGTCTGCCGAAGTCGCACTTATGCAGGCAAAATGTGAACGGCAGTGCTACAATTGTACTGAGTTGTATAACCGTATTTTGATTTTTCCACTGAAAATGGCGAAAGACAAAACGAGAACTTGTAGTTCGTATATGACATCATTCAGTAACGTGCAACTGTTCACCAAGATGGAATACTTTTCATACTTTTCACACTTTCATACTTTTCAATACTTTCACTGAACTACAGGTGGCACAAAAAGGGAATACCCATATAGCCTGGTTCCCATTTTGTTCTAATTTTTGTGAAGAACTTGAAGAAGTCATTTTCATCGATGAGAAATAGTCCCTATGCAAGTTTGCCTTTACTTTTGTATTCAAACCGGTCATTGTTGACTGCACCCGCAGAGAAATATTCTATAGCATATTAACGACGCCGACTTCTCATCGATGCGTTGCATGCATGCCTATAGTGCTGTTCGTTTTCAGATGAATAGTTATAGAAGTATGAAACGATGATTGATATTATGTAAACAACATATACAAAAATTCTCGTCCGGATACTGTCTTCTGTGTTTTAAACGGTATGTACAAATTACAATATACTTGATTGTGCTTGTGTGCATCAACGTATATATTAATCAATAATACCATATAAAAACACATGTATATATAGTTAGCTTTTTACCCCTCTCAGTTCTTATGGCGCTTGAATTAAGCCCGTCCTCCACTAGGCGAATTTGCTCGCGTGAACAGATAATAAGTAGGAAACGATCCTACTTTTTCGCGGCGAATTTTTTCGCAAACCAATCACATCACGGAATTTCAGATATCGCTTTGCGTCGCGCGAATAAATTCGCCTAGTGGGAAACGGGCTTTAGGCTGGTTGTGTAAGCAATGAAAGTATTGTAACTGTAGATAACACAGTGTATGAATAGGCATAGGTTTTAATGATTCAGAACCGCATACCCAAGTTTAATCGATATTTTTATTAAATCGACTTTCATGCTTGCATGCCTCCTGCTCAGCGGGAGCAAAGTAGATCAATTCCGACGAGGGCTGTTGTAAAATATAGAAATAATACGAGTTTGAACTGATGTGACTTTCACTTAAAACGTCTGTTATAATTGCCTACCAAGTGAATCTAAGAATAATTTTCTAACTCCTCAGAATTTTAAAGTGTTTGTATATCAGTTTTACCTCAATGACCAGAAACAATGATACGCGTATTAAGCCACGCTTCGCTTCATATAGAAACCTGGCTACGAAATATCTGCGAAATTAACTGTTCGTCGGAATATAAAAGTTCCAATTAATTTATGGGCACAAAGTTTTTTTCTGGGCACGTATTTTTCAGTTTTAGATTGGTAATTTTCTAGGATTGGATCATATAATTATATAATATAATATATATAATATATATATATATGGATGCTATGTTTCAGTGGCATGCAGTTCAGTCCCTCTACTCAAATGGAAATATCGCTAGGTGTATATTAAAAACATTATTCGTTTTACAATGTATATAGATCATTCATTATATATTGGTGTTGCCGTTCTAACAATGGGCTGGATCACAAAATTTACTGCTCTACGGTTTTTCCTGGGCGGCATTGAAACTTATCTTATCCACCCTACAGCATGGAGCTACATCAGATCCCTCGGCCAATCCAAGACGTTTCTCGCCTTTGTCTTGTCTTCGTATGACTTCGGCTGCGTCATTGCTGGACCACTTATTGGTGCCATAACTGATCATTCAGGGGATCCCAGGTTAATGGCCATTTGCTGCTGTGTGTTTAAAGTCCTGGCCTATGTGACATACAGTGTAAATTTTAGCGCATACTTTCCACTTCTGGGGAGATTCCTGAGTGGATTGAGTAGTGGAATAACTGCGATTCTTCTAGGACAAGTTGCTCTGCAAACAGACGAGAAAAGTCTCAGAGAAAATTTTATATTCTTAGAAAGTGTATATTGCATTGGTTCAGCATTTGGTCCAATGCTCGGAAGCTTTATTTCGTTTGATGTCAATATATTCGGCTGGGAAATAAACGATAATAATTCACCTGGGATAATATTGGCAATTGTATGGCTCATTTTTCTTATTTTTTTAATATTCTCACCCAGTGGGACTTGGATGGTAAGCGGTGCACATGTTGATGATGACGAGCAAAGCTTACCTTTAAGCAACGATAAAGATGACAAAAGACGGACTGCGTATCATGAAGATGGCGACCGAAGATTGAACAAGCCTGATTCCTTGTCATGGATACTGGACTCAAGAATACTTACCTTGCTCTTTCTGATATTCTGTAGCGAAGTATTTTCGAGCACGGCGACATTTTATGTTCCTATTTTTGGGATGGATCATTTTCATCTGCATCTGATTCATATCAAGTTACTGTTTCTAAATTGCACCTTGTTTACACTGCTGGTGTTCCTATCCTTTTACGTCGCCTCAGAATATGCGAGTGAACGTAAGCTCTTTAATTGCGTTGTTGATGCAAATTGTTGCCCTGTCATTTCTTACGACTCTGGCATTCTCCTGGGATAATATAACAAGTGCTCGATTCTACTATATTCTGCTTATATATATGTTTGTCTTGGTATGCCATATTTTGTATACATACTAGGGAATTCAATTCTTTCGAAGATCGTTGACTCTCAAAATGCAACATTTCTACAAGGTGTTTCCTACGGCGCCATACACGTGGCTATTCTATTTAGTCGAGTTGTGGCTAGTTTTATCTTTACAAAGATCCGTTTAGTAGCTTACTGCATTTTCTTAGTATTCCTGTGGTTTTTAGGCATGATATGGTATTGCGTGTTGTGTTGCCGGCAGTAGAATGTGAAACAGCGGTATAGCCAAAATACTAGACCATCACGCAGAATATTAAAATACGCCAGTTTTTGCATGACCGACTTACAATCGGCACTTACGAATGTTGTAAACACCAAAACAGTTTACTGGTGCCATGCTTCTCAGGAACTGCTACATATGTATCACAAGAAATAATGCTGCATGTACGGCTGTCGTTCAAATTATAACCCCCCAATAAAAGTTAACAATAAATAATTTAATTCATGATGTCTGCACATTTTTATTAATAAGATATAATGTTCTGGCTATATTGTAAAACAATTCAACCATTACCCTTAGACAACTCGGTTTCCTTGTGTTTCAAAACGAACCCAAAATTTCACCAGGGGTGGACGACGTGGCAGCGGTTGTTTATTTGCTACTAGTTATTGCGCATAGTATAAAATATGTGAATAATAATCCATTTAATTTAATTTTTATTGTTCGACATTTGTATATACGTATAATATACGTATCCTTTGCCATAGGAAACAATCACATAAAAGATTGTCAGACCTGTACCAAGCGCAGTCACCGACAGAAGTTTTTCCTATAAATTTCCACTTGCACTCATTTCGCTGGAAAATGAAGATGGTGGAACCAATAACAATGTATTTTTGTGAATTGCCAATATTTTTTACTGCTGCTTTAATTGACAGGGCTGAGGAACCTCAAACTTCGCCCAACCTACAGAATCATTAACATTTTGCGATATTTTACCCTATATAGCCATGTCTTCAATGCTGAGAAAAAGGCGTTTATGATTTGGTGCTATTTCGTACGGTCGTACTATAATCGAAATGAACAAATCAAGCGGGCTCGCATATTGTCGTGCATGCTCGGTTTTTGGAACAATCTCGATGCAAACAATCGGCCTGATTAGCATACAACAACACAATACGTGATTTTAGTTTCGCATTCAATCCGTAATTCCCAATCTACGAACCTAAATATCTACTCACCACTATACATGGGCAGCAGAATCCAAATGACAGTCCCCACATTAGTCATTAATATGAACATGATTTCATGTAGGTATTACTATACTAGCATTGGAGGTTAAAATTAACAGTTAATTAAGCCCCGTTCAGACGGGCAAGTTTTCTTTGACAAGTTTTCTTGACCAGCTCACTTGCTTTTGTGTATGACGAACAAGTTTTCGTTGACAAGTTTTAATTGCTCGTGTGTACGCGAAAAATTTGGCTAATTTTTTCTAATTTTACGATAATAGATCTGTCGAGTATATTTTACGATAATATGATAAAAAGAGTATACGACCGAATCTCAAAACGAACAGAAATGATAAATGTTCAAAAACCCGCACGATTGGCTCGAAGATTGTTGCGCTGTTCCCTACTGCGCAGCTTGTCAAGTTTTCCTGGATGGCTGTACATAACCTAAACCCAACCCTAACACGGCCGAGCATTTTACCTTGTTGAAAAGCTGGCATGACTAGCTTTTGAACGAGGCTTCTTGTCAATTAAGGAAAACCTGTCAATTTTTCGCGTACACATAAAACTTGTGCGAGGAAGACTTGTCAAAGAAAACTTGCCCGTCACTACAGGGCTTTACTGAAATAGTTCCAAGGCTTCAGACTAAAATGCCCAGCCCACGATGTCCATTTCCAGTATTTACCTTCGTGAGAAAACAATATAATCATAACATAATTCATTATCGAAGCAAAGAAGTACACAGTTAGATCATTCATGAGTTATAGCTTACATGCATGCAGGCATTAATAAAACCACCCATTGAACCATTTGCCTTAACTTTATCCTCCTCTCTTCCCATCAAACTCACCATTATCAATGATACAACTATTACATACATACATATATACACATAATATACATCGCTTTCATTTATAAATTATATAATCTTATATAAATTATATAATCGATAAATAAAACTACTGTTCTACCAGGTTGCCGTGTGGGAGTCGGATTAAGCTAAATAGAATTACAAATAATTGTTAAAGATCTTTTAAATGAAGAAAGAGATTCAGAGAATCGCAAGGCCTCTGGCAAGCTATTCCATAATCTCCACTATAACTGAAGGAGCGTTTAAAATAGTCAGTTTTAGGTTTATATAGGAACGAATAGTTTGCCATTTGCATCTCTGAGACGAGTGATTAACTATATGCACCTATAAGTGACAAACAAATCTTGTAAATACATAGGTGTTAAATTGTTCCTGACTTTATACATGAGAATCGCTTTTTGCATTTTACGGTTAACATGCAAGTTATTCAACCAAGTTTTCCAAGAACAGAGCTATATTTGGCTTATTGGGCTTGGACACATCGAAAATATAACGCAAGTTGAAATTCCTCGGGACCGAGCATCGGCATTTCCTCATGACGGGCTATTCGATTTTATTTATACAGGGTGTCAAATAAAATAAATATGATAATTGATAACCCATGGGTTACATAAAGTATACATATTGCACTCCGGAAATATCAAACCACAACAGGGGTTCCCCTTGGACGTGACCATGTTGTGTTTATAATTTACTAAGATTATTTTTTACAAAAGTGAGTTTTAACTTCAAATAAACCACTGCGAACTTTGCATTTTTTCACCCAATTTCTAATATTTCACTGATATTTCATCTGTATAGATGGTGAATGCTGCGACTTCATTTACGTTTGAGTTTATATTTGACTCCTTAGTAGCTTCTGTTTCACCTTCTTCAAAACTAAATTCATCCTTGGTATCTTCAGAGACATTCTTTGGCACTTTAATAAGCGTTATAAAACAGTTAACAATTATTACTACAGCGAGGCCAACAAATATCCCGGGGAGAGCCAGCAATCCTTTATCCCCAGCACCTTCTGGTAGTGCATCGATAACGAGGAATGCGATCACTGTATTAAAAAGACAGCTCAAAAGAGATAACGTTACAGTTGACTCCTTCGAGAACCAAGGTAAAATAGACAGGGTACCATAGACCGCAATCATGTAAAGGGTGGTTAGAACTGTTCCAAGTGCAGTCACACAAGCAATGTTCGTAACAGAAATCCTTTCTAAATGGCCACTTGCACTCGTCTCGCTGATTTTAACAAGAAAAATCATGACGAGAGAGCAGGTAACAAGGTAACCTAGTGAATTGTCCCATCTTTCTATTACGGCGCTTTTTGCAAGGCTGAGGAATCGCAAACTTTGTCCAACCTGCAAAATCGTGGAAATTATCTCAATACTGTATGTAGGCTACTTCTTCATGCATATTATAGCGCGCTTCCTGCAATTATAGATGCATGCAAAGGTCCAAAGGGTAAGTTTAAGAACACGATTTCGAGGAAATTTGTAAAGTACCTAAGAGGCCAGAGGTTGTTAGCAATAAAGTTATAAAACACAATACGAATAAGGAGGTAGTCTATAGATAGGTCGAGCTAAAAAAGGTGTAGTCTATAGATAGGTCGAGCTAAAAAAGTGAATATTCTTTGAATATATATATTGCCACATGTTGATTAGCATAACAGCTAACACAATACGTCATTAATTTTTTAGTTTCTATTTCAATAATCACTTAAACTAGCACCTAAAACACCTACTCACCCCTATAGGCAGAAGAATCCAAATAAAAGTATACAATATGACCGTTGCCACCTCAACATGGACGTGTTTTAATGAAGGTATCAACCATATCACCATTGGGGGAATTACAAAAACAGTTAAAATAGTACCAAGAGTTGAGACTAAAATGCTCAACCCACGATGTCCATTTGCAGCAGTTACCTTGATGAGAAGAAATATAATACAATTTTCTTTCATTCTTAATTTTACATGATTCGGTTTTCTGTTCATATTCTATGCTCACATATTCTAAATTCCATGCATCCTGCATGATATTACCAAACGTTTTGAAGTTTTAATGGTCAGAAATGCTTAGTCCGCATGCAGCGAGATCTAGCTGCACTTTCTGGATCTTTCTGGATATTACTGACAAACATACTATAATCATTGATGCAGCTATTGGACTTGGACACATCGAAAGTATTTGCAACGCAAGTCTAAATTCTTCTGGACCAAGAAACGGCATTTCTTCAACAGCAGAATTATTCGACGAGGTATTCGTTCGTCCACCGTTTTTTCCGATTGAAGGACCAAATTGTTTGATCTGATTGAGGATATTTACTGTAAATATCGAACGAACAACGAGGACTAAGATTAAACCAAGTAAGACCAGCCTGTAAGACTTGATTGCAGATTTTGCCTCTCGAAAATGAAGCCGTAAACCGATAGTGAACATCATTAACAAACAACAAACTTTTCCAACGTGTATCGACTCATTCAGGTATACAGCTGGCTGAGGAACAAATGTACCTAATATTACAGACAATACTATTCCAATGGAAAGAAAATGTCTTTGTACAACGCTCTTAAGCCTAGAAACTAGAGAGAATTCCTTTTTGCCGACATCCTCATCTTTTCTTTCTTCGGAACTTATATCAGTACTGACCACACTAACATATGAGACATGGTATTATTCGGTAATGATTGATCTGGTTCACGTCTGTTCATGGTAAGAACCAAGCTGTTGTATGCGTGAATCTTAGGTTTTCCATTTATATATAACTTTTTTCCCGTAATTGGTGTTGAATAATCTTCGGCAATATAATTATTATCATCACAACGGGGCTCCTCCGTAAACGTGAGTCCATATGCTGATATGCATGTATATATAGACAA